GAAAGCACGGCCCCTGGATTCTCTATCAGCCCAGAACTAAAACAATTTCTGAGGCCAACTCTTCAGACAGGGATTGGACTGGACTGTGGGACCTAAAGTGATACTGGTGAGGAGTGTGCCTCTTAGCTCAAGTACATACAAGAGACTAAATGGGCAGCTTCTATCCGGAGGTGAGATGGGAAGGCAGAGAGGGTTAGGAGCTGGTTGACTGGACATGGAGAATCAGGAGTGGAAAGGAGGAGTGTGCTGTCACAGTATGGGGAGAGCAATTAGGGTCACATAACTATGTATGTATAAATATTTGTACGGGAGACTAACTTGAAATGTAAACTTCATTTAAACTACAACAATAAAAAAAAATTGAGTAAGTTATAGTTTAAAAAAATTATTCAGATAGGTGTTATGTGGCATGCTTATTAACATAAATCCAGAAATAGGTCCAAAAAAGATATAGGAAAAAAACTTTAAATTCACAGATATCAATTCATAAATCATATTTGTGCTTACTTGCTTAGTCCCTTCTGTTGGCTCTGTGGTTTTATTCTGATTAAAACTTTCTTGTACTGCTTGAAGATTAAATAACATTTGTTTCAGGGCTTCAACAGGACCATGGTGTTTGCCTCCAGAAAGGGTACAGCTCTAAGATTAAAACAGATGATTATGTGGTTAGTCTTGTAAACTCAGGGAAAACAAAGTTATATTTTTTATTATTATTTCCTTCCAATATAAAATTAATGCATGCTTATTGCAAAATCCAAACAATACATGTCAATAAAGTATTTGAAAAATGAAAATTATAATTCATCATCTCTCCATATCCAGACCCCAGATGAAATTACTTAGAAACAACCATTATCGACATTTTGACATATCCTTTCTAGCCCTTGCTCTTGTAAAATGAATAGCACAGTACATGTTTGCATTTGTAACAAATTCATTTAGTACATTTAAGATCATCAATTTTTAGAACTGGAAAGGTCCTCAACAACACGTAAGCCAACATGATTTTTCAGATGTGTAAATGAAGCTGGTTATCAGCGAAAACAAGGACTAGAAATGGAGTACTAGTATTCTCTGCACACTTGTAAATATTTTTTCAAAGAGTGTGCTACATCTTCACCTCTTCATGGGCCATGCGTTCCTTGCTACTTAAATAACACTCATACCTCAGTTATCACCAACCTTTCCTATATCCAAAGAAGGCAACAGCACTTAGCCACATTAAGTGGTCAGGATTCCTTTAAGAGAATCTGTAAGGGATATTTTAAAACTTTTTAAAAAGCCTAATCAGTCTATTGTTTTGTATTTTACAAATGAGGTGACGTGTCCTGATAGCTCTCCACAGTGGCAAACAGCCTTCTTAAGATACCTGTAATTACTTTAAAATATTTGAGCACAGACAGTGTAATATATGTAGCAATTATTAAAGTTCAATTCTAGAGGAAGTTATTGACTAGCATAAAAATGTTAGAAATAGGCTCTCATTTGTGCCTATGTTCATGAGGGTTACTGGTCTGTAATTTTCTTTTTTTGTGGTGTCTTTACCTGGTTTTGGTATCAGGGTTATCCTGGCTTCATAGAATGAGTTACGGAGTATTC